ATCATACAGCAATATTTATTGGTAATATATAACAATCTATGTATGCACGTGAGCACGCGTACGTGTGACCGCACCAGCATCACTCACGTTTCTGTGGCGGACGGCGTGGCGCAGGATCTCACCGCTGTCCGGCGACGTCCACTGTATGGTCAGCGAGTGCGTGCCAGCCTCCAGCAGCGTCACGTTGCCCGGCGTCGCGTAGGTGGCGCCACCGACCTCGGCGCTCTCAACCTTCTCTGCGTCGCGAGCGTACGCCACCACCTGTGATCGTAGTGATAATTAATTAAGTGTTAATATTGAATTATTATTCATTTAGTAATTATTATATAATTAATTAGTAATTAATAACTAATAATAAGTAATTCGTAAATGATTAGTAATAAAAAATAATTAAAAGCATTAACTAATTAATTATTAATTATTAATTAATTTGTAGTTATTAATTGGTTTGTTAGTAATTAAATAATGTTTTACAGGGGCATGCTAGCCTCAGCTCAATCCCCGGCCCCCACCCCAATGTAGGGATGGAGGATGGGAGCCAAAGAGTTACTAGTAATAACATTGGACGTAGGAATACTATCAAAAGTGCGTACATAATAGATGAAAGAAGTCTCTATTATGTACTCTTAAAACTATGTATGTGCTACCAACATGCCCACATATCAGCTATCTCCAGGTGGCAGCGCCATTCTTACGAGACGTTACGAGTTAACATAGATGGGATACTCACTAAAGGTATAATGCGTGCAATTCAGCCAATTAGCACTGAGACAGGTGAAATAGCTAGATTGTTTTGCGGTATTTCCGTGCTCTTTATTATTTTATTTCTGCGTGGAGAGAATTATACAACTCTTGCGATTGCTAATTGAAGAGCGACAGATTCGGGGCACCCCGGTTCGGGATCGTCATAAAAACTGCTAGATGGCAGCACCGTACCTTGAAGAGAAACTTGGAGCCGGGTTCAAGGCCGTCGACATTAACGCTGTACGTGCCGGGCTCTGATTGGTCGAGCTCGGAGACGGCCTTGTGTTTTCGTGTCGGGTGCATTGGGCGGCGCCACGCAACGGTGTATCGGATGCCGTCAGGTGGACCTCGGAGTTTCTCCGGAATGCGGAATGAGACGTTGACGCGTTCCGGCGTGACGGTCGTGGGCACGGTGTGAGCCCGGCGGCGCGGGGGGCGACCGGCTGCGAATGGAGGAGGGTGATGGGCGAGAGTTGGAGAGGAGCGAGAGAGTATATCTAACGGCGGCGGGCATCTTAGTAGAGTGAGGGGGAGATTTATCTTTTATTCATTCATGTGTATTTATTATTCATTCATTTATTATTTTATTTATTTATTTATATATTGAATAGTTTATTTATTTAATCGTTTATTATGTTATTATCGTTTATTTAAGAATCAATTCTCATTACACACCTTTACATTAAGACATACACCATATAACATACTGCTTCGCATGGCCCGGAGGGTGTTGCCTGGCGGAGAATTTTTAACTTGGAGCTATAACATTGCCTGTCACCATGGATAAAGAATTTGACAAGCAACACGAAGAGAGCGATGGCGGCGCGGGCGTGGTGACTCACGTACCGGGTCCCGCGGGGCCGTCACGCTGGTGAGAGTTGAGTGGGGCACGGGGGGGCTGAGGTCGGGGCGCCCCCGCTGCTGCTGAGCGTTGCTAGCGCAACCTGGAACAGTACTTTCCGGGGTGTGTTGGGGGGCCGTGGTACGGTCAAGGTTCAATGGCGCTGATCGAAGGCTCGTAGTGACCTTTGACCGGAATAGAGAGCAAGGTCAAGTCAGTGAATGTAAAGGCAGCACGCACGAGCATCGCAAGACGACGTACAGCAGAAAAGCAGGGGAATGGAGTAAATTATGGAGAAAGAAAGAACGGGGGACGAGAGGGAAGAAAAGAGGAGAGAGAGGAGAAAAAGGGCAGAAAATAGAGAGATAGAGAAGAGCGATGAGAGAAGCAGAGAGAGATGAAGACAGGGAAGAGGAGAGAGAGAGAATAAAAAGATAGAAAGATATAGAAAAGAGAGAAGTGGCCGACAGAGAGAAGAGAGAGGGGGAACCCAGAGACAGAAAGCAAAGAAAGAGAGAGAAAAAACAACAGAACAGAGACAGAAAGACAATGAAGAAAGACAAGAAAAGAATCAGAGAGAAAAAGACAGAGAGAGAGGAGAGAGGAGAGAGAGAGAGAAGAGAGAGAAGAGAACAGAGACAGAGGACACAGCGAGAGAGAGAGAGAGAGAGAGATAGAGAGACGGAGAGGACGAGACAGAGAGAGAGAGACGGAGAGAGAGAGGCGCGCTAAGAGAGAGAGAGAGAACAGAAGCAGAGCAGAGAAGAGGAAAGCAAGAGAAAGAGAGAGAGAGTGGACCAGAGAGAGAGAAGGAAGGAGAAGAGAGAGAGGCGAGCGAGAGCGACGAGAGAGAGAGAAGAGAAGAGAGAGAAGCGGAAGAGAGAGAGAAGGGAGAAGAAGAGAGAGATGAGAGAGAGAGAGAGAAGAGGGAAAACCAGAGCAAAAGAGTGAAATAAACAGAATTTAGAAGAAAGACATAGATAGCGAAAGATAGAGAGATCCGAGACAACGACAGTCCTACATGCACGTACCCACGTCTCACAGCTTCCATCCGCCGCGCATCCACGCTCAGGCTCCTCAACCCTCCGCGTCATGTAGACCGTGTAGCGAACCGTTGCCATGGAGACGCCCGCGCAGTCGGGCGGTGGCGCGCTCTGCTGGATGGACAGGTTGATTGTCGTGTTGGTGACGTTGTGGAGGCGTGGTTCGATGCGGGGTCGTGGCGGGGTAAGGCAGTGCGGCGCTGCAACGACAACGTAGCGACACACGGCGTCACGGGTGATGTATGGTAACATATACAATGTGTGTGTGTGCGTGTGTGCGTGTGCGTGCGTGTGTGCGTGTGCGTGCGTGTGTGTGTGCATGTTAGTGCGCTCCAGGGTATGGCTGTATGTATGCGTGCGTGCGTGCGTGCGTGCGTACGTGCGTGTGTGCGTGTTAGTGCTCACCAGGGTACGGCTGTATTTGTGTATGTGCGTGCGTGCGTGCGTGCGTGCATGTATGCGTACATACATGCGTGCGTGCGTGCTGCGTGTGTGCGTGTTAGTGCTCACCAGGGTACGGCTGTATGTGCTTTCCGAACGCCTTCACGTTCTTCACGCCGTCGACCTGCTCCCGCTGGAGGGTGCCACCGGTGCGCTTATCGACGCTGTACAGCGCCCCCTGTCCCGCATTGCTCCAGTAGACGCGACCTGTGTCTACGGTCAGCGAGGTCAGAGGCAGACCTAGAAGACAATCATTATAATACATCCTCATCAACTAATTATTACTATTATTATAAATAATAATATACTAATAATAAAAGCTCATTATAATGATTAATATTGTAGTTATAATTCAATAATATTGTAAGCGGCAGACGGCGAAATGTTGTAGGAGACCTAAAGCACCTAAAAACCTAAGAGCAGCAGATCATTATCATTAATTATTGATTAATTGGTATTGAAATTATAATTAATTAATAATTTAAGTTGGGGTCAATGGTGCAAACGCGCAGAAAATCCTGATGGACATTATACAAGTTACATATAATTATTAATTATAAACCATAATCATGTGTTTATCACGAATTCCGTGCCATATTGGATCTGTGCTGCGCCCCCTACCTGCACTCTGTGCGTCGCTGCCATTGAACACCAGGCGGCATGTGCAAGCATCCATGCTTGTCGCCCAGATGACGTTCTTGTCGTCGGCCCAAAACAACAGAGCATCCGGGCCCGTCTCGTCGATGGCGACGGATCCCTGGACGCTGATGCTTGCGAGCGCCACCTGGCCTGTTACGATCTGCGGGAAAAAAGATTTTTGATTGGATATGGCCATCAACGTTCGTAATTTCTGGGAATTTCAACGCGTAGCTGTTGTATATGATCTTTCTGCGCGTCAATAAATTTGTGACGTTACTTTCAATTTACATTTCAATTTTAATTTTGCTTTAATTTTTTTTTCATCCCAGTTTCAAGTACAATAAATAACACGGCAGGGACACACGTCTCTGTGCATATAGAGACAGTTACTCCTCCCACAGTACAATAATACTCTGCAGTACAATAATACTCTGCAGTACAATAATACTCTACAGTGACGCAGGTCTCTGCAGAGTAAAGTCAGCTACTCCTCCCAGAGTACAATAATACTCTACAGTACAATAATACTCTACATGAACGCAGGTCACTGTACATAGAGTCAGCTACTACTCCCAGAGTACAATAACACTCTGCAAGGATGCATTGCAGATACAAGTTGCATTGCACATATAGTGACTCAGTCGCTGTTCAGTCTCAACATGACTGTGACTGTTCAGCCTCAACATGACTGTGACTGTTCAGCCTCAACATGACTGTGACTGTTCAGTCTCAACATGACTGCGACTGTTCAGTCTCAGCATGTCTCAGGACTGAGACGCGATGCGACCGTCTCCATGGCGACGTACCTGCGAACAGTTGCAGACGCTGCGACGTCGCCGCCATGCCTCGCTGCTCGCGGAGAAGAACGCGGTGGCGCCATCGTCGCCCTGTCGCCGCATGACGTGGTAGTGGCCCTCGTGGGAGCGCAGCATGACGAGCGCACTGCAAGGAACGATGACACTTGTATATTGATGTCATATTCGTCCCGTGCCATAGTTGTCTCGTGTCACATTCGTTTTTGTGTCATATTCGTCTCGTGTCACATTCGTTTCGTGTCATATTCGTCTTGTGTCACATTCGTTTCGTGTCACATTCGTTTCGTGTCACATTCGTTTCGTGTCATATTCGTCTCATGTCATATTCGTCTCGGTTCACATTCTTTTCGTGTTACATTTGTTTTGTGTCATATTCGTTTCATGTCACATTCGTTTCGTGTCATATTCGTTTTGTGTCACATTCGTTTCTTGTCACATTCGTCTCGTGTCACATTCGTCTCGTGTCCTATTCGTCTCGTGACAGTTCATAAATACTGATGATGCTTTTCTTTCACGACACAGGTATCTGTGGGGAATAATTTACAGGTAAGCTCTCTCTCACACACACCCACGCGCGCACGCACGCACGCGCACGCACACACGCACGCACGCACGCACACACGCACACACACACGCACGCACACGTGACTCACCTCGTCCGAGGCTCGACGACGATCGACTCCAGCCTGTATACAGTCGTGTCGAGCAGCTCCCCCTGGTGGCTCTCGAGGTTGAGATCGTACATGTAGAGGGAGCCACCGCCCTCTGTGTTCAGCTCTGTCCAGTAGATCTTACGAGCGACCCAGTCTACGGCGATGGATTGACCGTCCCCACGTAGCTTCAGCAGCTGCAGGAGTGAGCATGGGAGCAGCGGAGTAGGGATTGGCAGAGACGCGTAGCAGTAGTAGCACTGCTAGACTAGATCCACCCACTACTTTTCATCCACCCTCCTCCTTTCAACCGTCCTTTTCTCCCTCCTCACTATTCTCCCTCCTCACCCACACCTCTCCATGCACACTCTTAGTACTCACCAATCTTCCTCTCCATCACCCCACCTCCTCCTCACCCACCAATTTTCCATCACCTTCTCCTCACACACCCTCTTCCACCCTTCTCCTCCATTCAACCGCCTCCTCCTCCATCCTCTTCCTCCTTCTCCTCCCTCATCCATCCACCCTCCTCCTCCATCCTCTTTATCCTCCATCCTCCTCCTCCTCCTTCACCTCATCCTCCCACCTCCTCCTCCTCCTTCTCCTATTTCTCCTCCTCCTCCTCCTCCACCCTCCTCCTCCTTCTTCTCCTCCTCCTCCTTCATCCATCTCCTTCTCCTCCTCCTTCTCCTCTATCCACCCTCCTCCTTCTCCTCCACCCTCCTCCTCCTCCCCCTCCTCCTCCACTCTCCTCCTCCACCCTCCTTCTCCTTCTCCTCCTCCTCACCTCCTTCGGTTCGCTGCCGTCAACGTGTGACGTCATCAGTGCGCGCTGCGCGTCGATCCAGTATAGGCGGGCGGCGTGCGCGTGGTAACTGAAGGCGACGGGCTGTGCGCCGCGCGCGCTCACCCGCGTCTCCTCCCCAGCGTCCAGGTCAGCGACCCGCAGCGCGTCGTGGCTCGCGATCAGCACGCGCGGGATCGGACGCTCAGCTGCAAAGGTCAGAGGTCAGAGGTTAAAGGTCAGCGACCCGCAGTGCGTCATGGCTCGCGATGAGCACGCGTGGGATCGGACGCTTAGCTGCAAAGGTGAGAGGTCAGAGGTTAAAGGTCAGTGACCCGCAGCGCGTCATGGCTCGCAATCAGTACGCGTGGGATCGGATGCTCAGCTGCAAAGGTCAGAGGTCAGAGGTTAATGGTCAGCGACCCGCAGCGCGTCATGGCTCGCGATGAGCACGCGTGGGATCGGACGCTTAACTGCAACGACACGCGCGTGGGGTCAGAGGTCAGAGGTTAAAGGTCAGGGGCTAGAGAGCTTAGAGCTACTGAGATTAGAAGTGAGAGCTCACAAGAGAGGCAAGTGGTTATATTAGGATTAGACAGCAGAAAGGTCAGCGAGATTAAAGGTCAGCGAAATGAAAGGTCAGCGAGATCAAAGGTCAGCGAAATGAAAGCTCAACAAAATGAAAGGTCAGCAAGATCAAAGGTCAGCGAGGTCAAAAGTCAACAAAATGAAAGGTCAGCGAGATCAAAGGTCAGCGAGATCAAAGGTCAACAAGATCAAAGGTCAGCGAGATCAAAGGTCAACAAGATCAAAGGTCAACAAGATCAAAAGTCAACGAGATCAATAATCAGCAAAATGAAAAGTCGGAGGTAAGGGGCTCCACCTCTAGCATTCTGCCTACAACAGCAGGCGACAGTTGACTGTGTCTACATTGCTCGAGCAGAGTGGTGGTGATGGGAGCGCACCCTATGCGTGCGTGCGCGATGTGGGAAAGGGCGTCAACAGGTGGGGGACAGGGAGGACATGACCCCCCAACTTTCAAAAGTGGGGGGACATCATATCATTTGTCACCCCCCCACTTTTTGGGATTATTTTGCAGCATCATAAAATTTGCTTGATTTTTACTCTACAATGCATTAAAACGCCTGTTTTTAATACGCAAAAATAAAAAGGTCCTTACTCCACTCGCCGGCTAGCTCTAAAGTCACTACCCACACCCTCCCCAGCTCAGTCAATCCGCTCCCGCAAGATGTCCTGCAACTTCTGAGAAGCTGTTGACGCCCTTGGATGTGTGAACTTACCTGCGGTGGACGCAGTAACGATGGCGCTGTAGTCACCTCCTCCTACCTTCGTAAACGCTCGCACCTGCAGCCGCACAGCACCGAATTAGTTATTTAATTAATACAATAATGTTATTTTACAATTTATTATAATTAATAGTATAAAAAATAAACTAATGACCTCACTACATAAAATTTATTTTTGTTATTATCCACATGCCCACAAGCACGCACGCATGCACGCACACACACCCACATATATATATAATAAATATATATATATATATATTATAATTACTTATAGATAAAAATATAATAAATTATAATAAATATATTAAAAATTAACGTATAAAATATTAATTATATATTAAAAAAATTATATACAACAGCTAAATATAAGGCAGTGTAATAGGGAGAGACGCCCCCTTTCCCCATCTCTCTCTCTCCACTATTCTCTCTATGCACGTTATCTATAATATATGTTGTGATACAACTATAAGCAATTTGCTCTAAACGAATGGACTTGGAAGTAGGAGTACGTGTATTGTAAAGCATTAATAGGCATTAAGGCAATTAATTTTTTATCCAATTAATTAACACGGTAATAACATGATACTGTAACAAGTGCTGCACTCACAGAAGCAGCTGAGTATCAAGGAGCTAAACATAACAAGAAGAGGAAGCCGGATTGGCTGGTGTGCTTTCGCCTGCAGGCGCCATCTAGTGAGCGCGAAGAGAGCGAGCGGAGAGCGGGCGCGAGAGGAACCAGAGAAATAGAACACTAATGGCTGTTCTAGGGTCTCTGCCCGAACCGCAAATTTGGGCCTGATATGGCGCGTTCCTCTCCTTGTTATATTTAGCTCCTTGCTGAGTATAAGGCAGCGTGACTCACCCGGAAGTGACGAGTTACGTTCACAGGAACCTTGAGCAGCTCGTAGCTGTGCTGCGACGGCCGGAGAGATCCCGCGTCTGCACACAGGTTCCCCTTTCTCTCTCCGCCCTCCCTCTCCTCCTCCTCCCGCTCCGCCGCCGCCGGAGAGTCACAGTGGAGCGTAAAGCCGAGAAGGACGCCGTTAGGTTTCGCCGGGTCGCTCCAGCGGAACACTAAGAGGCAGCACTGAACATCATCGTCGAATCACTCTCACACAGCGCTGTTGTTCATGGGAAACCATATTATTGTCTCTCTCCGTGCTCTCTCGCCCTCGGTCTCTCGTCTCTCTCTCTCTCTTTCTCCTCGTCTCTCCTCTTCGATGGCTCTCTCTCTGCTCTCTTTCTCTCTCTCTCTCGAATCTCTCTCTCTCTCTCTCTCTCTCTCTCGTCGTGTCCTCTCGTGCGTCTCTCTCTCTCGTCTCTGCGCTACTTCTCTATCTCTCTTTCTCTCCTGTTCGCCTGTTTCTGATGTCTCTCGTCTATCTCCGTTTTTCACTCGTCTCTCGTCTCTCTTCCTGGCTGCTGTTTTCTTGGGCTCTCTCTCCTCTCTCGATCCGGCGAGGAGAGACCTCTCTCTCTCTCTCTCCTCGCGTCCTCTTCTCTCTCTCTATCTATCTCTATGCGCTCTCTCTCCTCTCTGTTTCTCTCTTTCTTTCGTCTCTCTCTTTCTCTCTCTATCTATCTCTATCTCTGGCTCCATCCTTCTGTTTCTCTCTATCTTTCTTTCCGCCTCTCTCTCGTCTAGTTTATCTCTCTCTGCTTCCTCTCCTTTCTCGTCTCTGTCTATCTCGTATCTCTCTCTCTCTCTCTGTCTTTCTTAGTCTTTCTTTCCGCCCGCTCTCCTCTCTCTCATTTTTCCTCTAATCTCTTCACATCTCTGGTTTCTCTCTTTTCTTTCATTTTTCTCACGCCTCCTCTCCGTCTACATCTATCTATTTCCTTTCTTGCCCATTAATCGTCCTCCTCAAACCTTTATCCTTAAACCTCACATCTATCTATCTTATCGTTATCTCTTCTCGATCCTATCTCCGTCACTCGTTTCTTGGTCCCTGTATGCTATCTCTGTCTCTCCTTCGGGCACGGCTCTTCTTCTTCCTTTCTTCGTCGTTCTTTCTCCCTCTCGCCTCTCTCCTCTCTCCTCTCTCGTCGCTCGTTCTTTCTTCCTCTGTTCTCTCTCTCTCGTCTTCTCCATCATTTGTCTCTCTTCTCTCTCATCGACCCTCGTCTCTCTCTCTCTCTCTCCTCTCTCTGTCGTTCTCTCTCTCGGCTCTGTCTGTCTCCTGTGCCTCTCTCTCCTTCCGTCTCTTGTCTCTCTTTTCTTCTCTCCTCTCTACTCTTGCCTGTCTCTCTCCTCACTCACGGAGACGGTGACGGCGCTGCGCAATAACTTCGCAGATTCGGGGTCCTGTCGGCGAAGGCGGGGAGGGGCGTCTCTCCGTCTCTCTCTCTCCTGTCTCTCTCGCCTCCTTTGTTCTGTCTCTCTTTCTCTCTCTCTCTCTCACCCCTCTCTCTCTCTCTGTCTGTCTCTCTCTCTCACACTTTCCCGTTATCTTCCTCCTCAAACTTCATGTGACACCTTATCAGTAGCTTACCTATGCGTATCGTCGCCTCTGTCGACTGTGGCACCTTGTCGAATATCACAAACGATCGTGGCCTGAGTGGTGCTGAAGGAACTGCACACAGGGAACAAACATCTCTCTCGCAGCGATGAACAAACATGTCGGCTATCATTAAAGTGATGAAGTCACCGTTAATAGTCAAAGTAAAAAAAATACGACTTTTTTTACAAACATCCATTCCCTTGCCCTCCTCGTACCTTCCCCTTCCCCCTCCTCTCCTCACCCTCCTCCTGCACCCTACCTGACTCGGGGGAGGTGAGCTCCACGCTGACGCTGTGGCCGCTGCACCAGTACGTGAACGCTCGCACGGTGACGGCGACGGCCGTGTACGGCGGCAGTCCGCGAACGTTCACTTGTCTCTCGCGCGTCACGCGGTACATCTCGCGCCGCCCGCCGCGCAGCGCCACCTGGTATTGCGCGCCGTCGTAGTTGACGGCGGCGTCGGCCGGCCACGAGATGTTGAAGTCGTCCCAGACGCCGGCGACGCCGACCGCGGCGCCATCTATTGGCGCGGGCGTGAGATGTAGCGTCTGGCTTGTGAGAGATTCTGGAAGCGAAGAGGGGGAGCCGCTGTGGATCCGTGGAGATTCCATAATTCTGTCTCTCTCGCTCTCTCTCTATCTGTCGCTCGCGTGCTCCCTCTGTCTCTCTCTTGCATGCCCTTTTTCACGCTCTCTCTCTCGCGTGCTCTCTCTCTTGCATGCTCTCTCTCTCGCATGCTCTCTTTCCCACTCTTCTATCTATCTATCTCACTTTTCTCTCTCTCTCTCTCACTCACTCGTTTCATTTTTTAGTTATCATGCACTCACTTTATTCACTACACAGATCATCGGCAGCAAAATCTACATAAGCATTTCGCGACGCCTTTACAAACCTGGGAATGGATACATGTCGCCGTGCAGCACCTGTAATGCACCGCTAGCGCCCTCTGCTGGGAACCTCGCCTGATACCTCAGCGACAGGTCGGAGATGACAAATCCGTCGCTTACCGTCTCCTGCCAGATGACGCGGTTGCTATAGTAACGCAGCGATCGTGGCCTGCAGAGAAATTAATTTATGATAAAATATAAAAACATCAAATTTGAATGAAGTGAAATTAAGTTGAAATTTGAATTTATTCAAACTGGTCAAGCAACTAAGTGCTAAGTCAACTACTTAGAGAGAGTGAGAGAGAGAGAGAGTGTGTAAGAGAGTGAGAGAGAGAGAGAGAGAGAGAGAGAGAAAGAGCGAGAGAGAGAGAGAGAGAGAGNAGAGAGCGACAGAGAGCGAGCGAGAGAGCGAGAGAGAGAGAGATAGCAGGTTATTACTGTCAGGCGCCTCACATTATAGAAGTGTTCGTTGTCCCCATCAACGTGACAGCAGTGGAGGCGTCCGTGACCTCTGCTTGACCCCGCTCGGCATCCGTGACCTCTGCGTGACCCAGTATGGCGACGCCGTACAGCAAGCGCGCCGTCGCGTTCTCCGTCGCAAAGTAGAGCCGGCCGTGGTCGAAGTCCAAGGTCAGGCCAAGGACGACCTCCACGTCGGACGATAGATCGCGGCTCTTCCACAGCACTGAGAGAAACAGACATGGAAGATATAGCGAGGATGGCTCTCAGATATATAGAT